GGGTTCGTTTAAGAAAAAGTGTTTACTTGTCATGCTGCCGAATAGACAACTTACTTTAAAGCACACGCTGTGCTGTAGCTACCCAGTAATATTCCTGCTGTGTGTCAAAGCACCTCGCAACCAACTCAAGCGTTGCAACAACGCCCCGGGCCGTGCACGGATATTTCCTGGTCGTCTGCACCTCAGGTAGCCACTTAGCCAGGGCGTTCGTTTGATGTGTTTGTTCCGCATTGCTTACTCCCACCCAACTCGCGTCTTCCCTCCCCCCATGCTGCATTGCGATGTAGTATACGTATTATGTATAATGTTCCGGTATTGCGCAAATATCCAAGTGGTGTCAGTGCAAGCACTAATAAATGTGAAAGTAGATTTTTTTTTAATGCTGGTGTTTTTAGGCCCCAAAGATACAATTTCAATCATATATATATAGAAGTCGGATTTCCGACCCTGCCTGACGTGGCAACTCAGGCTGAGAAGGATACACCACCCCAGCAGAAAAAAAACGAGATACTTGAAAAAAATTTACCCCCTTTCGTGAATCGAACTTGGATCTCCTGCGTGCTACAGCAAAGTGTCTTCCCGCTGCACCAGCCACAGACGCCGGTGTGCAAGTATTGAGAGGTAATAAATTTGCAAACAGTTTGTGACATCCAAACCAATCCTAGCCCTCGTACAGGACAGGTGTGTGTTGGGGACAGGAGGTCAGCCTGTCTGATATATTCCAGGTGCACTAATCATGAGAGCGAATTAAGAGCTATGTTTTCCAGCGCAGTTGAATTGAACGGGTCAGAAAAATAAAGAGTCTAACTTCTAAGTCACCTTGAGCTCATTTCAAGAAAAATGCAGCCAAAAGAAAACAACCCACTCAAGACAAACAACAAAAACAAAAATACAACACCTTAAACAAATAAAAATACTAAAACAACCCAAAATGAACAGAGTAAGGGGTAATTCATTCGTAGGCCTTAAAGGCCATACCTCAGGCCTTTTATTTCTCTGACCCCCTTGAATGGAAGTATGAAAGTGTTCGTTTGAGAGAGCGAACTAACTTGTTGTGTTCTGTCTTTGATTTCAATTAATGTAATAATGTGTTTTAGCGTGACGACCGGCTGGTATGATTGTCTATTATTATGATTATTATTATCATTATTATTGTTGTTGTTCATTATTGTTTGTATTATTGTGACGCAGTTTTTGTTAAATATGGATTGCTGCATCATGCTGATTATGCTTTTTTAAACATAACATATTATGTTGAGATAAATATTCAGTCACTGAAAAGGGCATGGTTTATACATGAAATTTTGATTTAAAATAATGTGTAAATACATGTTTGATCGCTTCCTTTTTTTTAAGGGGGGAGGGGCATACAAAGTACAAATATTTTGTGGATTGATAAATCAACAGGTTGGTGGTCTCTATTTTTTAAATTGTATAACTATATTCACTCTGTGTATATTACACATTCATTCTTATATATTCCATGTAATATTTTGAACAAAATAATTATCCAGCCCACTTTGAAAAAGTTTGGTGATCCCTGTGTGAATCAACACTCATAGTCATAGTGCCTTGTTTGTTTGAGTGAAAAGAGGCATATTGCCACAACAGCATCCATTTATTGCTGGAAAACAGAAAGAAAGATAGATAGAAAGAGAACAGGGAAAGAAAAGAAGGACCTACCTGTGGTGCCGTCCAAGTTTAACCATCTGCTCAGTGAGCCAGCAGAGTTTAATATCTTTTTTTTAAAAATGTTATGCAGTTGTTTTTTATGCCCCCATCAACACAATTTAGATCACTTAGAAGGTAGGCTTCAACAATACCTTTGTGTGCTAACCCAGGCTGAAGAGAGATACAAGCGCGCTCATATGACCTTAGCAGTTGCGAGCGCCGTAAAACCTTATACTATACTACTACATACTAGAGAGATACAATATCCCAATGGAAAGGCTGGGATACTTGAACTCAGGTCTCTCATGTGCGATGCTGAAGCAGCTTACCACTACGTCTCAGACTCAGACACCAGTCAGCAGTGTGCAGTAAAATGCACATGTATAAATACAGTGTGTCTAATTTTTAAGCAATAAATATATGAATTTTAAAAAAAAACATTCCAGTGTGTATTTCTAGATGGGCTCGACTGCACAAATATTACTTTAACTTTAAAAATCAAGAGAAGATCTTGGAAACTTTACCAACATCAGCAGTCGTCAACAATTTTGTTGTAGTCACCGCCCACTTTTGTCACATTTGAGAGACTACCATTTTTGTAATGCCCATTTACATTTAAATGATTATATTTCCAAGCGGGGCTTTAAATAATACCAGTCATTACTAGGATGATGCCCACCGCTCACCAAAATGACCAATTTACCCAGTAGTGCGCTACCTCAGAATGACAAAAGTTCTATCTGGCATTTTTTTACCGTTTTGAGTTACGAAAAAGACCATGAGATGAGAAATAATAATAATAATAATAATAATAGATAGCATTTGTATAGCGCATATCCCTGCTCAACAGCAGGCTCTATGGGCTTTACACTATATTATTACCCCAGCAGACCATAGAACACTCCGAAACATTCTCAGCTTCCCGGGAAGCATACAGTGCGAGCAGCAGACTAAGCGCTCAAACACTAACAAACTGACAAGATCTTTCGCTGTCTATAGCCGGGTACCCATTCCCACCTGGGTGAAGTGAGGAAAATTCGTGTAAAGTGCCTTTCCCAAGGACACAACGTCGGGCCTTGACGGGATTCGAACCCACGACCTTACGGTTGCGAATCCGAGAGCCTAACCACTAGGCCACCGACGCCACAAATGTTCTATTTGCTCTATCAAAACCGTAAGATTATTCAGAGTCGTTATCAAGATATTCAAAGAAATGCATTCAGAAAAGCTTGACATGTTGTGAAACTCAAAATTTATAACGTTGAATTTCTCAAAAGTAGGTACATGTACTGAGCAGATAGAACTTTGTAATTCTAGGATAGCAAATGGGTGATCATGCCCAGACTGCCAAACACTGATCTACAGAAACATGAACTTTGTAATTTCTGCTCTAATGTGGAGGCCGCTCAGTCTCTTCCTAGTCTTACTTGGGTTCACTGAGGAGCTTACACGACTCACCACCCATTCATCTTGGTCCTGCTGCAGATGGGAGGTCATTAAGTTTCAGTAGGAGTTGCAACACAAGTAGGTTATATAATAAGTGCTGAAGATTACAAGTGTTACATACTAACAAAGAAAAAAAGGATTAGCGATAAGGTCGACAGATGTTTGATGCTATCATTGGTAGGAAAGAAGGCGCAAACCATATCAGAGCAACAGTGATAATTTGAAAATACATGTAATAGTATTATTATAATTATGACATCTATAAAGTGCTTGACCACGATTAATAAAGAGCACAAGACTCTGAGCACTTTGTAATAATACACTATCATCACCTAGACAGTACATTGTGTTCTGACTAATAATATGTGTGTGTGTGTGTGTGTGTGTGTGTGAGGGAGGTATCATCTTGTAAAATAGGTAACTTTTCAACGATGGAAAAGGCATTACAATCCAATACCATGTTAAACAGTGTTGAAAAACAACAATTAAAGACATTTGTTTATGTGCATGTTTGTGTGTGTCAAGTATGTGTGTGTGTGTGTGTGTGTGTGTGTCTGTGTAAACTCCACTAGGTTCGAGGGGCAATTTGTCTGTCTTTTTCTCCTCTCGTTCCTGTTACTGCAAACAAACAGATAGGGGAGGGCTCTCGTGGCCTAGAGGTGAAGGTGTTCGCCTCTCATTCAATAGGTCCCTGGTTTGAGCCCGGATAGCGACGGAAATTTTTCTTCTCTAAATTGTCTCCTTTCACCTCCTTTCACGTTCTCTAGCAATGTTAAGTAGTCTGCTTTTGTCTCCACTCTCTGCCCCCACCCCCTCACCTCCTTTACCCCCTTCTCTGGGCCCCCGACTCTTTCTACAGCCTTTCAACTGATTCTCCTTGGCTCCTTCTTACTGCTGTCTTTCAGCCACACCCCGAATCTTCGGATAGGAGAGATCTACACCTTGCCTTCTCGGACAAGGGGGAAAAATCGTGGAGGTCCGTGGGCAAGTTGTGCACGCTAAAGACCCCTTGGCGGTCCAAAATCGATAAGAGTAGGCCTCGGCCGCCACCCGGGCAAAATTCAAAATTTCCTACCAACTGAAAATGTTTAATGTGTCCTGCGCGCTCATATAACCTTATGCAGTTGCGAGCGCCATAAAACATTTACCAATTACCCAAAAAAAAAAAAAAAATAAGGGGGGAAGGTTGTGAGTGAGGGTGGAGAGGTTTCATAGACAAGCCTCTCGTCAGATTGGCACAGGAATGGCCAGCATTTCCTCACCACACTTCTGAGGTTTATGTGTAGATTTTCAACAGATCATCATTAATTTCTACAGACTAGCACGCACATGGCGTGGGTGGTTGGTGGGTGCTCTGGCGTGATGAAAGATCTTGTCAGTTCGTAAGTGTTCGAGTCTTTTATTGGCTGCTTGCATTGTATGCTTCCCGGGAAGCTGAAAATGTTTCCAAGTATTCAAGGGTCTGCTGTAACATGTATTACCGTCATCTAAACAATACTTCCGACTCCTGTCCTTTGAGAGCAACCAAGAAGACCCTGACAACTATACCACAGATGCTGGTGTTACAAGAATGAATGCCTCCTTACGATTAGAAATGTTTCAGCTGTATATACTCCACAGAAAAAATCTTTCAGGGTCTTTTTGTTTGTTTCAGTACCGGTAAGTGTTTTACAGCACTGGCAATACAACAAGTAAGGTCATATAAATGCCGAAGATTAGAGGTATTCCAAGAGAGTGATAAACACAAAAAAGAAGAAGGGGAGATACAGACAACAGATGTTTGATAGGAAAAAAAGAAGCAAACCACACCAGAGCACCCGCCAACCACCCACAATATTCCAGGAAAGGTGAGGAAAATTCTGTCTCTACTCAGGATTCAGAACTCAAAACCTGTCATCAGTAAGTCAAGTCTGAAAGCAGCAACTCTACACACAGTCAAACCTGCTCCAATGGTCACCTGCCCAAGACAATCACCTGTACAAATGACCACTTTCCTTTCCTCACCTTACGTTTTATTATACGTTTGTATCTAAGACGTCCACCTGTCTAAGGCAAAAACTTTTCTCCCTACAACAATGGGTGGCCATCTTGCACAAGTTCGACTGCACTATGTGGTTCGGTTTCTGCCCTTCTACATGTTATGAGTATGAGCAAAAATATTCGTAACTCATTAGTTAAATTCAACGATTTATTCCATTAATGATGACATCATGAGAAACATAGACAGTCGCCTACAAATAAGAACATTCACTCCTGACATTCATCGACTGCATGCATACACACTCACACACAAAGGTATCATCTCTCCCTGGTTCATATCAAACAAACAAACAAGGAAAAGTACAAACAAACCAACAAACGGATTAACCCTTCATACATCTTGTTTGTAAAAAGTAACTCCACCCATTAACAAAGCAAATTTCTAATAGTAAAAGAAGCAACAGAAAAAGTCAAATAAAAAACTTGTAACTGGCAGTTGCCAGCAGTAAGTTGAAATTTTTTTGGTTTGCAATTTATAATAATTCACTGATAATCCTTTGGCCCTTGTACTTGTACGCAAGAACACAATTCTATGATAAACAAAACTGCCTTCCAGAAAAGCCTACATTCGATTCCCTTGAAACAGAAAAGAAATGTCCCCAAGGTTGTTGGAGAAAGATTTTGTATGCATGTTAAAGTTAAAGTAAGACTCGAACCATTTTCGTCACCTAAATAGACTATCAAACCATTGCGACAATGTCACAGAGTTAATACTTCCCTACAAGAGAAATACCACTGGCCTACTCAGAAGAAAGATGTTGATAATGACAAATTAATAAATACATAACGAACTTTCAAAGACAGATCTTTTAGTTCCAAAGAAAATTGTGAATTTTTTAAAAATGGAGAAGGGACAATCTTTTATAAGCCATACAAATTCAAAGTTTTCACTTTATTCAATCTCAACTCTCCCCTAAAAAGTACATAACTAGTCTTGTAACGACGAGGATGACACTAATTATAGGTCATGTAGCGTGGGGTGGCGCTGAACTTAGCGTATGCTTTGATGACTTTGTTCACCGCCTCTAGGAAATCTTTCTCGGTGGCCATCTTCCTTCTGGCTCTGATTGCGAACATGCCTGCCTCCGTGCACACACTGCGAATCTCAGCTCCTGAAGGGGACAGAAAGTGAAACAGATTTCGATAGAGCTCTCACATAAAATAATGATAATGCATATGATTACTATAGTGCCCACTTCCATTATACAATACAGTCTAGGAGCTTTACTTTATCCAAATCCAAGTGAATGAACATGATGGTTACATAGTCTCTTTAGATTAACACTAACACATGAGTGAACATTCATACTATCACAGCACAATTGATAACGATAAGCACATCTCATTATGAACATAAGAGTACTGTGAATAAGAAGGACTATCTATCAAGATGGCATTTCATATGGAATGTTTTTAACTGAAATTTAAATTTTGCCTCTGACTTTGTATCTTCAAATATTGTGGGGGAGAATTTCAGATAGATGGAGCAAGACGAGAAAAGGACCTCCCTGTGAGTTTTTTTTAACCTACTTCCTAGGAGTTCCCATATGAGACTGATCTCTTGGAGGAGAAGAAGTATAAGGAGGAGGATTAGGAGGGAAAAAAGAGAAAGATTTTTAAAAAAGAGTAGAAGGTACAGTCCCGTCACGCAGACGACAGTGTTTGTGCTTTGTTGGTCTGCAGTTTCAGAATTACAGTAGCTAACTGGCTGTATGAAAAACATCTGGAACTTTTTGGACCCTGAGGATATGCACACAAAGGGACTAAAAATTACAAGATCATGTAGTCTGAAACATCTTGCATCAAGACTTCTTCCATATACAAGGTGAAATCCTGACAATTCAAAAAATCCAGATTTCTAAATTTATCCACACTATTGGCATATTTACGGAAAGCAGGTGATGGGTCCACATCATCGTCTGAATTCTTTCATCTACAAGATTAATATTTAGCTTATTCCAGTCCAAAACTGCTGATAAAAATCATGCTTTTATCATTGATATTATTTTGTAATAAATAATAATAAGTAGCATTTGTATAGCGCATATCCCCACTCAACAGCAGGCTCTATGCGCTTTACACAATATTATTATCCCAGCAGACCATAGAACACTCCGAAACATTCTCAGCTTCCCGGGAAGCATACAGTGCAAGCAGCTGATTAAGCGCTCGAACACTAACAAACTGACAAGATCTTTCGCTGTCTATAGCCGGGTACCCATTCCCACCTGGGTGAAGTGAGGAAAAATCGTGTAAAGTGCCTTTCCCAAGGACACAACGTCAGGCCCCTGATGGGATTTGAACCCACGACCTTATGGTCGCGAGTCCGAGAGCTTAACCACTAGGCCACCGATGTCCCTGCAGCAGGACTTACCAGTACTATTTGGGCACAATCTTGCTAGCAATTCATAACGGATGTCTTTCTCCACACTCATGGAACGTGCGTGGATCTTGAAAATGTGCGTGCGACCCTTGAGAAAAAGAAAGATTGAAAACTTCAATGTGGCATTTCCCAGTATTTTGAAAAGAAAAAAAACATTGTTCATATATTTTAAAAATCAACTAACTGAAATTATTGCTTGTTGGTGTTAAGAAAACGAAGTCAACATGGTAATCATTTAGTGCAGCAATAAAGAACGACAGACAGACAGACAAAACAGACAGAAAGAATTGATGTAGGGCCTACCTTATTAAAAATTTCATTTAATTGTTATGAAAGAAATCACTTGAATATTTCAGGCCAGAAATTTTTAATGAACAGAGCCCATAAAAAAAATCATTTAAAAAATAAGCCAGCTTAAAACATTTACAGTGGATGGCATCTGAGATGATTTACTAAACATCAAAATCTACCATCAGCGGTAAATTTGTCAAAACTCTGCTCCGAGTGAATAAAACTAAGGCACTTCAAGGCACCTAACTGAACACACTTCATACATGACACATATAGTAGATACCAGAAACTAAATTTTCAAACTAGCTGTATGCCAAATTTATCTGTTCCATTTGAAAGGCCTATATCCACTGAGCATTTTGGTACCATTCTTTAACCTCTCCGTCAATTTTCAAGAAAATTGTAGTTGTTTAAAATTTGAAAAAATTTGTTCAAGTCAGTCACTGGCTGCAACCCCATGTTTGACAGACAATAAAAAAGTAACAAGTCCACTAAACATCTCCACATTAACAGAGTACAATCACTATAACAAATATATGGAGCATAATTTTTTTCAAGACTGTGAGATCTTTACAAATCAGTATTTTATTGCCTCAAACACGATGATCTGTCGTTATTTCGACAAAAACACCGAGCGTTGACCCGGCCGGCGTTGCACCGGGCCCCGCGGCGAGCGAGTCGGCTCTATACTGTAGTGTACCACGGATGCGGGGTCACATGCTTTCTGAGTCTCGCAGAAGGATTGATGTAAAATAATTTCAATTTAATTACTTTATTCTAATAGGATATGAACTGATCTTTTAATTAATACTTTTTATAAGCCGGTATTTTACATATTTTGTGTAAAAAGTGATCTTTAAACATTTTGACGGTATTTTTAAAAGCTTTCTATAAAGACGCCAAAGGCTAAACTTATATCACGGGAAAGCCCGTTTAAATCTCTACAGTTCTCCGCCAATGAAAAGACGGTATTTAATCATCCCTCGTTCCGCGAAGCATTTGAATGCACGCGTGTCAATTTTTCACCCGGCCGACCACGCATTCCGACCGCGAGGGGCTTCGCTTTCCTCGGCGATTCTCCAGCTCCTACTAATCGGACATATAAACAACTTACACCATTGTAACGAGGAAAAGCTGAACTTTTACAAGGTGTACGGCATTTGGTGTTCTATAGCGAAAGAGCAAAAAAACAGCGATCGGAATTAACCCGATTTTACCGATACCACGCGGTCGGAAGGCCGCGAGTGCCCGCGAGGCCGTGTTTACGCTATCTACATATAGGATGACAGACAAAAATATTTCTCCAACCACTCAGGGGACATTTCTTTTTGCGTCAAATAAAAAATCTTCACTCTTTTCCATAAAGAAGGCAGCTTCACATCTACCACGTGAATTGCAATGCTCTGGTTACTTACTTACCTCCTCCTCTTTCTTTTCTTTGTATTTTACTCTCAGGTAACATCTCTAATCTTCCGCATTTATACGACCTAAATGCAGTACAAGTGCTGTAAAACTAAACAAAACTGAAACAAAAGCAGGCTCCTCTCACCTCCAGGTCCGGGAGTCCGAACTCAATCTTCCGGTCCAGCCGGCCGGGCCTCATGAGGGCGGGGTCCAGCGTGTCGGGGCGGTTGGTGGCCATGAGGACCTTGATGTTCCCGCGCGGGTCGAAGCCATCCAGCTGGTTGATCAGCTCCAGCATGGTGCGCTGCACCTCGTTGTCCCCGCCCGCACCGTCGTCGAACCGAGCCCCTGCACCACACATACAACACAGGCATGAGACATTAAGGGGCTGCTATAAAGAATGACGAACATAAATATACTGACATATCAACCTCTTGGTGTAAAAATCCACCATCCGTCATTATGAAAAGTGATGAAGAGTTTGTTTGTTTTAGTAGAGGTTTTACGGCGCTCCCAACTGCATAAGGTCATATGAGCGCCAGAAGAATAGAGGTGTCACAAGAGAGTAACATACATAAAAAAAGAAAAAGGGGAGATAAGATCGATAGCTGTTTGATAGGAAAGAAGGAGCAAACCACACCAGAGCACCCGCCAACCACCCACTGATGAAGAGTGGAGTCTTACACTGCGCTGTTGATATGTACACGTGTATACATGCAAATACATACACACAAACAAATGAAGAACATTCAGAGTTTATTACAAAGTGTACATGACATACCACAAGTACCCGCCTATATCGCCACCACGAATGCGACACATGGATACACTTTGACTCATTTTTGTAGGTTGCTCAAATAACAGACAGCGAATTGTTGACAAGCTGGAGAGGCCTCAACAGGCTTAAAATTCAAGTTCTAGCTGAACATCAAATATAATGTAGTGTCTTAACCCTTAAGAACCGTTGATTGTTGAATTGAGATTGATCTAATCTGTGAGACTGGAGCTGCAGGTAATCCAAGCAAGACACCATAATGTGTTCAATGCAAAAACTTATTTAGTATTACTTCCCCTTTGCTTGGCCCCATCCTGATTGCTTGTCATGCATCTAATACGAGGGGTATACTTTTGGACCTCTTTTTTTTTCAATCACTCATATTACAGGAGAGTAATATTACAGTACAAAAATACGGAATAACATTGGGAAATGTATAAAACTTTCAAAGTGATTCGTTATCTACTTTTTAAAAGACAGTGTACAGTTGACAATGTTAAAGTGTAAACAAACAAACATACACACACAGAAAATGAAAAAGCTGTTACAAAGAATGCTTTACATACATAGAGAGATATATAAACATACACACAAATAGACAACATTAAGAAGCTGTGACAAATAATGAAGTCTATGCCGACATAAGCTCTGGCTTACCTCCGACAGCATCAATCTCATCAAAGAAGATGATACAGGCTTTCTTGGCCCTCGCCATTTCAAACAGTTCACGCACCATCCTTGCTCCCTGGCAAAAAAACAAAGGTGATTTGTAAACATCTACGCTCCCATTGACACAATTCAGACCATTTAGGACAGCACGTGTCAACTTTTTTATGACATATAAGCCCATTTTTGCCACCTTTAAGAGACAAAATTTTCATACCGCCTTCCAAGTGGGAGATTAAATAGTACCTGTCAGTACCCCAGTGATCCATACCACCCACTAAAATTACTTGCTAGAAAACATTTAAAGATAAAATACTAGAGTGGAGTCCGCTTAAACCAAACACGGTTAGTCCGCAAGCAGCCATAAACCAGCTATTAAATCCAGCAGTTTTTTTCAGGCTTAAAAACCATCCCAGAACAAACCACTGCCATCCACTTCACAATCAAGCATAACACAAACTGGGTTAATAAGAACCCAACCTATTTGTGTCTAACCGGCCATTAAAGTTACACAATAACAACCCCAACTGTGTTTCCCCCCCCACAAAAAAAAATTATTTTAAAAAAATAAAAAATTAATTAACAAACAAACTCACCTCTCCGACATATTTCTGCACCAGCTCGGAGCCGATGACTCTGATGAAGCAGGCGTCTGTCCTGTTGGCCACAGCCCGAGCACACAGCGTCTTCCCTGTACCGGGCGGCCCGAAGAGAAGGACGCCTTTAGGGGGTTCGATTCCCAGATTGACAAAACGCTCAGGCTGGAAGAGAGATTAAAAAAGAAAGAGTTTGTTATGGTAGCAGTTTTCCGGCACTTAAAACTACATAATGTCACTCCAACTGCTCAGTGTAAGAATCCATCAAAAGTCACTTCGCAAAATGGCATATGGCAGAGTCTTTCTTTTTTTTTGGGTAAGTGTTTTACGGCGCTCGCAACTGCATAAGGTCATATGAGTGCGCGGGACACATTAAATAAACTTTTTCAGTTGGTAGGAAATTTTGAATTTTGCCCGCGTGGCGACCGAAGCCTACTCTTATCAATTTTAGACCACCAAGGGATCTTTAACGTGCGCAACTTGCACACGGGCCCTCCGAGATTTTTCGCCCTTGTCCGAGAAGGCTAGGTGTAGATCTTTCCT